GAGATGAGGTCTCGCTGCCCAGGCGGGTCTCGAACCCGCGGGCTCAGGCAATCCACTCACCTCAGCTTCCCAAAGGCGTGGGATTACAGATTGAGCGCTTTTACCTTTTCTACTCATACTTTTTCACACTCAATCCCTGAGAGGCAGTTCAAATGTCACTTTTTCTGTTTCTATGTTTATATTCCCCTGGTATTTTATAGCACCTATCTCTATAAATTAGTTCTCTTAGATGTCTTTTTTCTCTCTACTCAACAGATCTTTGATACCCAATGTGTAACTATACATGGCATACAGTAAACCAGTGGCCTTCGAGTTTAACTGTGCATCAGAATTACCCAGTTATACACACACACATACACACACACACACACACACACACACACGCACACACACAGACACAGACACACCCCTAATTTGTAGGGTCGAATCCTTAAAAGGTTTTATTCAATAATTGGAGCAAAGTCCCAAATTACTCTCTCATAGTGGATGGGCAGCCAAGGTTAAGAACTACTGAAGCAGGCCAGGCCAAGTGACTCAAGCCGTAATCTCAGCACTTTGGGAGGCTGAGGTGAGGGGATTGCCTGAGCCCAGAGGTTCGAGACCAGCCTGGGCAACTTGGCAAGACCTCGTCTCTACAATAAATCAAAAATTAGCCGGGCGTGGTAGCGTGCACCTGTACTTCTGGCTACTTGGAAGGCTGAGGCGGAAGGATCGCCTGAGCCCAGTAGGTCAAAGCTGCAGTAGCTGTGATTGTGCCACTGCACTCCAGCCTGGGCATCAGAGTGGACTCCAACTCAAAAATAAAAAAAAGAATAAATGCACAATTTTTTATAAATAAATTTTGGGGGGGTTTGGTCCCCCTCATATACTAAAGACCTATATTTATTCATCCAAGAAAGACAATAAAGACTCATGCCACTAAGCCTGAACCAATTCTGAAGACTCCCTCCACCTAAGAAACATAGGAGGCCGGGTGTGGTAGCTCAGGCCTGTAACCCCAGCAGGCCGAGGTTAGAGGACTGCCTGAGCCCATGGGTTCGAGACCAGTTCGGGCAACCTGGAGAAACTTCATCTCTACAATAAATGAAAAAAATTAGCTGGGCTCGGTGGCTCAAGCCTGTAATCCCAGCACTTTGGGAGGCCAAGGCGAGAGGATTTACAAGTCCAAGAGTTCGAGACCAGCCTGGGCAACTTGGTGAGATCTCGTCTCTACAATTAAAAAAAAAAAATTAGCCGGGCTCGGTGGCTCAGCCTGTAATCCCACGCCTTTGGGAAGCTGAGGTGAGTGGATAGCCTGAGCCCGCGGGTTTGAGACCCGCCTGGGAAGCAAGACCTCATCTATACAATAAATCAAAAAAATTAGCCAGGCGTGGTAGCACATGCCTGTAATTCCGGCTACTTGGAAGGCTGAGGTGGAAGGATCGCCGGAGCCAAGCAGGTCGAGGCTGCGGTGGCCGGGAGCGGCCACTGCACTCCAGTCTGGGAGACAGAGTGAGACTCCAACTCAAAAAAAAAAAAAAAAATTAGCCAGGTATGGTGGCATGTGCATATAGTTCCAGCTATGTGGAAGGCTAAAGCAGAAGGACTGCCTGAGCCCAGCAAGTCAAGGCTGTGGTGGCCGTAAGCATGCCACTGCACTTCAGCATAGGCGACAGAGTGAGACACCAACTAAAATAAATAAATAAATAAAATAAAGGGTCACACCTATTATATCAGCAATTTTGGAGTCCCAGGCAGGAGGATGGCTTAAACCTAGGAGTTCAAGACTAACCAGGGCAACATGGTGAGACCTTGTCTCTACAAAGAATTTTTTTCAAAAATTAGCCAGGCTTGGTGGTGTGTGCCTAGAGTTTCAGCTTCTTGGGAAGCTGAGGCAAGAGGATCACTTGAGCCCAGGATGTCAAGGCTGCCGTGAGCTATGATCACACCACTGTACCGTAGCCTGGGCAACAGAGCAAGACCCTGTCTCAAAAACAAAAAGCAAAATAGAAAGGGACCTGCAGAAGGATAGGAAAAGTACTAGAACGTGCTGGGCCCAGCGAAGGTAACGGCACAGGTGAACAGAGACCAGGAGAAATAGCTTTATTTGGCTTGAGAGTTGGAAAGTAGGACCTGACAGAATATATTGAGCTAAGGAGTAGAGATCAGGTTCCAAAACAGCATCAAAGCTCATCAACCAAATGAACTCTACTTCCCAGAAACCTCACGGTTAGCACAACCAAGAAAAAGCCTGCCAGGAGATGCATTTATCACTAAATTACCCAACTGTGCCAATATTGCAGAAAAGGTACAGGTTTTTCTTCATAATTAAATTTCCAGAAAACCCCCAACCACAAGCATTATTAAATTTTTTAAATCACATTTTACAGATCTTAAGCTTGTCTTCACATTTAGCCCCAAAGTTCTCACCGTCTTCAACAAACAGCTCCCCTGCTAAACTCAGTGGCTATAAGGTCTATCCAAGCAGCACAACGGCCTTTGCTAGCCATGGCAATCCTCTTCCCATTTTCCCTAGCCAGTCAGGGCTGAACAGCAGAGTGAGGTTCAGGTAAGGGTGGGGGGCGGGTAGACGCAAGGGCTGATTTCCCCCCAGTACAACATGGCGTCTGAAGCTTGATGGGAGAGTAGAACTGGTGAGACTTGAGGGAAGGGTCCAGGCCCTGTATTCAGTCAGAGTCACTGCTGGAAGAGGAGGAAGAAGAGGAGGAGGAATGCTGCAAGGGGAAAGGGGAAAGGAGATAGCATCAGATCCAATGACTTTGACCACTCTATGGGCCAATCTTTGGTGCCCCACCCCTCCACCCAAATATCCCTGTGCTTCCCTAAGAAGGTCAGGGGTCTTGATTGTACTTTAAACAACAAAAACAAGGGTTTGTTTCTTTCAGCAGAGTATACAGGAATGGATTAAACCATCCTAAATCTATTGCACAGAATTTAACCTTCAACTACAGAATACTGCCTTTGGAGCAAGTTTCCCACTTTTCTTACCTGAGTCAATGCCCAGGCAAGGAATAAATTATAGACACAAGCATAGTATAGTGCTAGGAAGCAGCTGCTACCTTATAAATGCTTATTGATTAGCTACAGGCAAGGTCCCTATGACTCTAAGAAATTAGATTCTAAATCTAAGAAAAGAGAGTTGGAGCAGCAGCTGTGTGTGTATTTATCTCTATTTTTTCCCCACGCCCAATAGGAGAAAGTGGGAAAGGTGTGAGAGAATGCTGGGGGAGTTCTAGTCAAGGTTCCTTACATGCAAACTCCAGTAACACTACAGTTCAAAGCATGTTTTAGTCTCTTCAGGGTAATTTCTTCCCACCATCCCCAGTTCAGTCTCACCTTTCCTTCTCCTTAGACTTCTACCAAAGACCTAGAATAAGGAATTAGAGCCCAAATCCACAAATCAAGTAAACATTTGGGCAGTAAAATGTAAATTGAGGCCTCCTCAAGACGCAGGTTGGTTTAATTCTTCCTCAGTAGTCCTCAGAGCTGCTTTTACCCTTGCTAATTAACACTCCAAAACAAAGAAACTTAGCCTTGGGGCTGAATATGAAAACCCCTTAATCCTAGGCTTTGTTTGAAGCTGAGTCACTGACTGTTCCTGTCCTCAAGATAGCACAAAAGGCTCGTGTAATTAACACAACACCCTAAGAACAAGGAAGGAGAGAACTCCAGGAACTTGAACCAGATTATTATTGTTAATATTTATATAAGATTTTAGGCCGCCCAGTGGCTCACACCTATACAATCCCAGGACTTTGGGAGGCCGAAGTAAGAGGATTGCCTGAGCCCATGGGTTCGAGACCAGCCTGGGCAACTTGGCTTGATCTCATTTCTACAATAAATAAAAAAATTAGCTGGGCGTGATGGTGCATGCCTGTAGTTCCAGCTACTTGGGAGGCTGAGGTGGAAGGATCGCCTGAGCCCAGCAGGTTGAGGTTGCGGTGGCCACGAGCGTGCCACTGCACTCCAGCCTGAGTGACAGAATGAGGCTCTGACTCAAAAAAATAATAATAATAATAATAGTAATACTTATGTAAGATTTTGCTTTGTCAAAACACTGACCCTAGACAGGCTCGGTGGCTCAGCCTGTAATCCCAGCACTTTGGGAGGCTGAGGTGAGTGGATTGCCTGAGCCCGCGGGTTCGAGACCTGCCTGGGCAACTTGGCAAGACCTCGTCTCTACAATAAATCAAAAATTAGCCAGGCATGGTAGCGCGTGCCTATAGTCCCAGCTACTTGGAAGGCTGAGGCGGAAGGATCGCTGAACCCCAGTAGGTCGAGGCTGCGGTGGCCACTGCACTCCAGTCTGGGTGACAGAGTGAGACTCTAACTCAAGAACAAAACAAAACAAAAAAAAGCCTGACCCTATTGACATTCGGACCTCCACCACTCATCTCCACTTCCCTGGTCCTGAGTCTGGAGGGCTTTAACCACCCACAGGGTAAGAAAGATTCTCAATTTTATCTCTCCCTGGGGGGACCACACCTCAGGCTAAGAGAAGGACTTGCCTTGAGGCATAGTGAGAGTAAGTGTGCTCAAGACAGACGTCAATAGCGTCAGTCCTTTGACAAAAACTTGCACCGGGGTGGGGGCGGGGCAAAAGTTCCAGGAGAGAGTAAGGCAGACAACATGGATTGTGAAATCCACTCTAAGGCTCACTCTAGCCCCCAACCTGGCTTTTTTTTTTTTTTTCCTTCCAAGATTATCGGATTCTTCTGAGTAGCAGTCTTTCACATCAAGGAAGAACCATCTACTAGAGCAACATAATTGCCATCCGCCGTGTCCACAGACTGCAACTCCCCCTCAACCAATCCTTGTCTACCGGGTCCCTGGGGTTACCCCTTCCCTAGCCAGGCTCCAGAAGGTACTGACCTTGCCGTGCTTGTGGTGTTTGTGCATCTTCTTATGCGTTTTCTTCATTTTCTTCCGCATCTTCTTGTCCATTACCATCCCTGGTCCTAACATGCCAGGAGCCACGGGATTCACAGGAGGCATGCCAGGGGCAGGTGGGGGGTATGGCGGAGGATAGGGACCTGAAGGCTGGCATCCTGGATACCCTGGCTGTGGCACAGGATGAAGGGGCCCACCTGGGGGGAAAGCTGGATTCCCCTGGGGAGGTCCTGGAGGACAGGGAAAGGGGCTGGGAGGAACGGCCGGATTGATAGGCGGTGGATGGGCAGGATTGGAACCTCCAGGGTACCCTACGTTGGGGGGATATGGAGTTGGCCCCGGATGCCCTGGTGGGAGAAGCAGAGAATAAATAAAGATTAGAGTTTCCCAGAGCCTCTGACAACAAACAACAACAACAAAAGAGAGTCCCTTTCTCACCCAATACTTAAAGGGAAATGGAACAGTGAGGAAGAGAATGGATGGTTGGAGAGACAAACCTGAATTGGGGGGGAAAAGGGACAACCTCCCCGGAAGGGCAGGAGAGGGGAGAGAGACAGTGAACGCTATGGAGAGACAAAAGCAATTGGTCAGCTGTGGCCCGTGGACTTTGCTTTTGCGAGTTAAGGGGGGACGGGGGCGCGTGTCGGGGAAGCTAATAGAGAAACTTCCTGTTGTGGGCCCATCAGTAAAAGGGTTAGGGGTGACAGAAGAGATCTCCCAACACCTACCGGCATTGGGATTCCACATGTTCAGTTGTGTCCCCCAGCCTGAGAAGAAAGAAATGAGGCAAAATGATGACGGCCCAGAGGTGGGAATCCCAACGTCTCCCGCCCTACAGCAGACTCTCCCAGGTAAAGAACTGCCACGACCGCCACAGAAGAAATGTTTCTTTCCACTTGGTCCTTCGCCCTCAGTACCTGCTATATTCTTGCTTCCCTAATCACAGGAGTCTGGTTCCTAGGCCCTGCCACCATCCACTACCTCTGGCCGCAGGTGGAGGCATCTCGGACCCCCACCACGCAGCTCCCCTTCCCTGATACTGAGTCGGAAGGGCTTTAACCACCCACAGGGTAAGAAAGGATCTCAAACAATTTTATCTCTCCCTGGGGAGGACCCCACCTCAAGGCTAAGGAAGGACTCGCCCCGAGGCGAAGTGAGAGGAAGGTTGCTCAAGTCAGATCCTCAAACGCTTAAAGTATGTAGCACACACCCCTTCCTCCAAAAGAAAAGGCAAATGAAAATCCTAGCTCCCAGCTGCTAAGGGACCCGCAGACCTAGTATCGGAGAAAGTAGGAAGTTGAGGAATCCTGATGCCCCGTCACCTTTCCACCACAGCCTGAGCTCGATTTCTCCTTCGCAGTCTCGGCTCTCGCTTCCTGGTCACCCCCAGCCCATGCTTTAGCACCCGCCTCCGCTACCGCCTAATTGGTAGTCATGTGGGTGCTCGGCGTATGATTGGACAACAAACCCGCCAATCACTCTAATTGTGCTATGTTTGGAGAAAACGGTTGCTCTAGGGGCGGAGCGGGAGCACCTTAGGGCGAGGCCAGTGCAGAGAAGCCGGAAATCTCCTGGGGGCGGGGCTAGCAAGGACAGAGCTAGGAAGGGGCGGAGTCAGTGGCTGAACAAAGTCTCAGCCACCGCAAAGTAACCCTGCCCCTGCTCGCTGAGCTAGCAGTTCAGTGGGTGGGTGCGATACCTTGTAATCTGAATACACCATGATAAATGTTGTAATACAACAGGGCTCGGTGGACCAGCCTGTAATCCCAGCATTTCGGGAGGCCGAAGCGACTAGATTGCCTGAGCCCGCGGGTTCGAGACCAACCCTGGCAACTTGAACTCATCTCTACAATAAATAACTAACCGGGCGTGGCAGCGCGCGCCTGTAGTTCCGGCTACTTGAAAGGCTCAGGTGGAAGGATGGCCAAAGCCCAGCAGGTCGAAACTGCGGTGGCCGTGAGTGTGCCACTGCACTCCAGCCTGGGCGACGGAGTGAGACTCCAACTCAAAGAAGAAAAAAAAAATGATGATCGAGTGAGACCCTGTCTTAAAGAAATATATATATGTAGAATACATAGAGAGGAATACACAGTCGAGACCTATATACATGCGCTATATATATATATAAAAAATTCTGTCTACTGTGAGGTAAAGAAGAAGATAGAGAGATGGTTAAAGTGAAAGCTGAGGGCCCAGTTAGGAGGTTACTGCTGTAGTTCAAGGGAGATACGGTGGTGTTTTAGATGAAAGTTGCGAAAATAACCATGAGTGGTCAGATTCTGAATTTTTTTTAAGACTAGTCAACTAGTCAAGTGTTTTAGTGAATAAAGGGAAGAGCAGAACACAGAGTATCATCTGTAACTGACTGTGGGCAATCGATATAACTCACTACCTTCCCATCAGCCAATGTCTAGGTTTTTTTTTTTTTTCCACATGCCATCAAGCCCGGCTAATTTTTAATTTTTTTGTAGAGACGAGGTCTCATTATATTGTCCAGGCTGGCCTTAAATTCAATTGCTCAAGCACTTCTCTTGCCTCCGCCTCCCAAAGTGTTGGAAATACAGGTATGAGCCACTGTGCCCGGTCATATTCTGGGTATTTTTTTTTTGAAGGTAGAATTTAGCAAATGTGAAGTGTAAAAGTAGAGAAATTGGCCAGGAGTTTGAGACCAGCCTTGGCAACATAACAAAAACTCCCTATCTACCAAAAAAAAAAAGATTAGCTGGGGATGGTGGCATAAGGCTGTAGTTCCAGCTATTAGGGAGGCTGAGGGGGGAGGATCACTTGAGCCTAGGAGTTCAAGGCTGAAGTGAGCTATGATCATACTACTACACTTTATTCTGGGGAACAAAGCAAGACCCTATCAATGATGACCTCAAGGATCCTGAGCAACTGGCAAATAATGGGGCCATCTACTGAAATAAAGAAGATGAGAGCCAGGCTCGGTGGCTCAGCCTGTAATCCTGCGCCTTTGGGAGGTTGAGGTGAGTGGATTGCCTGAGCCCGCGGGTTCGAGACCCGGCTGGGCAGCGAGACCTCATCTCTACAATAAATCGAAAAATCAGCCAGGCATGGTAGCGCATGCCTGTAATTCTGGCTACTTGGAAGGATCGCCGGAGCCCAGCAGGTTGAGGCTGCAGTGGCCGGGAGCAGCCACTGCACTCCAGTGTGGGTGACAGAGTGAGACTCCAACTCAAAAAAAAAAAAAGAAGATGGGGAGAAGTATAAGTACATTTGGACAAGTAGGACGAGTTAAATTTAGGACACCTAAATCCAAGTAGGGATTCACAGAGTTAGGGGTAGGTCATTAGGTCTTTAAGTAGTTCCAGAACCAGTGGACAACAGCGACCCAGTAAGAGTCCCTCATTCCTGGACAGTCCATGGCTGTCTCTATTATCTTGGAGTAAAGAGAGGGAGGTGTCAGCTAGCCAAGAGAGAGCATTGCCGATCTGGGGCTCAGAGGAAGAAGAGAGAAGAGGTCAGGGTCCCCGGGGGGTGGGGGGGTGGAAGGGAGAATGGTCATTATGGTTGTGCTCATAGAAGAAGGAACATACTTTGGGAGGCGGAGGCGAGAGGATTACCTGAGCTCAGGAATTCGAGACCAGCTTGGGCAATTTGGTGAGACCTCGTCTCTACAATAAATCAAAAAAATTAACTGGGCGTAGTGACGTGTGCTTATAGTCCCAGCTACTTGGAAGACAGAGGTGGAAGGATTGCCTGAGCCCAGCAGGTTAAGGCTGCGGTGGCCATGAGTGTGCCACTGCACTCCAGCCTGGGCAACAGAGTGAGACTTC